TGTTGGATGGATGGACGCTGGTGTTACAAGAATGGATGGACTATGGTGTTACATGAATGGATGGACTATAGTGTTACATGGATGAATGGATGGATGGACTATGGTGTTCATGGATGGATGAATGAATGAGTAAATGAATACGCTGCCCAAGAAGTGAAGGTGTTGAGAGCCTGAGAGAGGCTGAGGCCGAGAACATGATCCTTGGGCTGGTGCTGCCCTCAAGAAGCAAAGGAGTTCCTGAGATGTGACGACTCTGTGTCTTCCCCACAGGGTCCCTCTGTGCAGTGGCTCCAGCATCACAGAAATAATCAACCCAAACTACATGGGGGTGGGGCCCTTTGGGCAGCCGATGCCCATGAAGCAGACTCTGTCCCCAGATCAGCAGCCCACACCCTGGAGCTATGACCAGCCACCCAAGGACTCCTCCCTGGGTCTGGGAAAGGGAGAGAGTCCTCCAACACCTCCCTGCCAGCCACCCCTATCACCTAAGAAGTTTTCATCCTCAACAGCAAACCGGGGTCCCTGTCTCAGGACCCAAGAATCAAGGTGAGCATCGTTCTCACTGAGACCTCTCTTCCTTCCTTTCTCCTTGAGGACTTGGGCTCCCTACAGTGGCAGGAACAGCCTCCATCTTAGCGCTCTGGCAGCTCCGGCCAGCTTCAGCCCTCCCTCATCTGGTGTGGCATGGCTTTCCTCTACATGGAGGAACAGTTAACAGTTCAGTTCCTTAAGCTTTTCCAATAAAAAATGGATAGATGAAAGGAAGGTAGGGAAGGAAGAAAGAAGGACAGGACAGGACAGGACAGGACAGGGCTGACCTAGAGCTCAGCGGGGTCTCAAGTTGAACATTCATAAATGCCCAAGTTCCTCTGATTTTCACCATGACCGGCATTTGTTCCCTCCCATGGTCAGTTATGAGATGAAAGCCATGTGTACCAGGAGCCCTCTGGGAGAGGACATGGTACCGCTGGAGAGAATGGGGTATCAAGAGTGCTCCCTGAGCAAAGGTTCTTGTTCATGGCTGCTTCACCATGGCTGGGCCAGTGTCTCATATGGGTGGGCCCCCTGTGGGTTTGGCAGGTGGAGCTTCCTGAATTGAGACCCTCTAGGAGCATAAGTGGTCACCAAGGAGAGGTCTGATCACCTCCCTGAGCAGCCATGGAAATGACTGTCAGCAAATTTGCTGGGGACAGAGGAGATACTGGGGTGGGGGAGCCTGTCAGAGCAGTGAGGGAGGGGCTGTAGCCACCAGGCTCTTCTTGTGAGGACAGGAGCTGGTGCTGCCTGGCTGTGTAGGTTCACACTTCTGTTTTGTCCTACAAAACCTCCAGTGGGGTCTCCCTTCCCCATTGATGCTCTGATATGAGTAGGTTTTTCTTTTCTTTTCCTAATTTTTTTTTTTTGGAGACAGTCTCAAGCTATTGCCCTGGGTAGAGTGCGGTGGCATCACAGCTCACAGCAACCTCAAACTCTTGGGCTTAAGTGATCCTCTTGCCTCAGCCTCTGAAGTAGCTGGGACTATAAGTGCCTGCCACAACACCCAGCTATTTTTTAGTTGGAATTGTCATTGTTTAGCAGACCCAGGCTGGGCTCGAACCTGCCAGTCTTGGTGTATGTGGCTGGCGCCCTACTCACTGGGCTACAAGTG